ACATTTTACTGAGGCAGGCAAAGGTTAAGTGACATTTTTGTTGCTGTTCATTTGTTTCAACAAGAAAGGTTCTCTTGGCAAAGATACTGGAGTGCTTTGCCATTTTCTTATCCAGCTCATTTTACAGATGAGGAAACTGAGGCAAACAGGGTCAAGTGACTTACCCAGGATCAATCAGTTAGGAAGTGTCTGAGCTCAGATTTGAGCTCAGGTCTTCCTGACTCCAGGCTCATTGCTCCATCTACTACACCACCGAGCTGCCTCTAACAGTAGTATACATAAATTATTTATAAACAAGTAAATATACACATATGGGATGTGATTAAAAAAAATAAGGAAAGCTCTGGAGATCACTGATCTACCTTCTTCATTTTACAGATGAGAAAAACTGAGGCCTGGAAGAGGTTAATTAGAAGAATTGGGAAGAAATATATCGTACTTGGATTATAAAGTGATTTCCTCGCAATAGTTCTTTATGTTTGGCAGCTGAAATATTATTATTCCCTTTTGCAATAAGGAAATGGAGACACAAAAACCTGGCTAAGGTGATAAAACTAGTAAATGTCAAAGCTAAGATTTGACAGATCTTCTGACTTCAAAACTAGTTCGTAATATTCTTTCTACTAACCCATAAAAGCATTTAATTAATTGACTTGAATTGAATCTAATCCAGCTCCTTACCTGATACCTGAATTAATTCTATAACACTGCTGACAAATGCTCATCCACCCTTTTCTTGAATACTTCAGATGAGAGGGAACTCATGCCAACCACCTTATGATACCATTCATTGTATTTTCATACACTTCTGGTTGTTAGGAGTTCCTAAGCCAAAACATGCTCCGTGTTTGGTCTCCCTGCCTCAGTCACTCTCTTTCTGATCCATCCACCACAGAGCTGCCAAAATTATTTTCCTAAAGTACAAGATTAACTATTTTACTCCCTTGGTCGATAAACTGCAGTGGCTCCCTATTGATTCTAAAAACAAAATATTATTTCATTTTTAATCTGTTCTTTCTAAATTTTATAACTGCTATTCTTTGATCCTCGTTTTGCCTTTTGGAACCTCACAGAATAAATATAATTTCTCTTTTAGGGTACTGATACTTGCTAATTGCATGTCAATCAATGCTGATACTCTAACCAGGGGTATACTGGTAAATATTTAACAACTGGCTCTCTGAGAAAAAGCACATGTAGGACACATTTTGAAGCTTAATCAACATGAGTAACATTTTCTCCATCACTTTTAAAAATCTGTACAATCAATAAAACAATAAATTAAACCATGATTTGTAACATTTGCTGATTTCCAAGGCATAAATGCTCACATTGAGAATTTAACGATTGGCTTTAGGAGCTGGCTCCAGCATACCCCTGCCTTAAGTAATAACTCCTTCATTGTGAGCTGAAAGCAAGTTCAAACTTTTTTCACAGAATTTGTAAACCCAAAAATATGTCAGACAGTCCTAGTCAGTCAACAAGCATTTATTAAATGTTTATTATGTAAGATATACCAAGTACTGGGGATACAATACAAATACAAACAAAAAGAAAAATGGTCCCTTGCCCTCATTATTTTTTTAATCACATCCCATATGTGTATATTTACTTGTTTATAAATAATTTATGTATACCACTGTTAGAGGCAGCTAGGTGGTATAGTGGATGGAGCAATGAGCCTGGAGTCAGAAAAACCTGAGTTCAAATCTGACCTCAGGAAGGAAGTACTTGTTGGTATATGGTGGCTTTTTAGGATGGCTGATCTGGGCTATTCCTCCAAATTGAAGTGCTGGGAAGAACTAACCAATGGAAGAAAAGACCCATAGGAGGTGATCAAGAGGCTCTTAGCCAAAAAAAAAAAAACATACTGGAAACTTATTTTGGAACTGTGGTAACAACCATAGATGAAAATCTGTCTTTCAGGGAAATCTTAAGTTCAAACAAGGGAGGATAAAGAAAAGAAGAATGGTTTTCATTAGTCAAGCCATGCAATGTCATTATGTGACCCAGAATAACCCTTTCAGGGAACTGCGAAATAGACGTGTTTCCTTTCATTGTAAAGAGGTAAAGAATGAGGACAAGTGGTTTGAAGAGATGCCTGAAGTAAAACTTTTTAAATTTTATTTGATACTAAAGATTATATTTTTGTATTTTGTTTACCTTGTCTTGAAGGGCTAAAGATAGTTGAATGTATCATATATGTAGGTATGATATATATGTATGTATGTATGTATGTATGTATGTAGAGACATCTGGATCTACATTTAATATATATGCATATACACCCAGAGTTAATAACAGCTGTGATGTAAATTTCATTTATATTTCTCTAATACCAATTTGGAACTTGAAACCATTTTCTTCCACAGTGACTACAAATATCATTACTATATGACAATCATTATTATATGACTGTCATATATATGACAGTACATACACATATATGGTCATATTGTATATATGTATACTGTCATATTGTATCATACTGTATATATTATTGCTATATGAGGCTTTGGAATTTTAAATGGCAACAGTTTAAATGTCCTTCCTGGAAGAATAACACTTGTGGAGTGGAGAATGTGTGAGTTTTAACTCTGGACTATGAGAAATCTTTGAGAACACAGAGTTTTAATGTCATCTATAAAAAGTTTTAATTTTAAGTGTCACCTATAAAGAGAATGAGTTTAATTGTTATTCAGAAGAAATCATTGACAGAAAACATTAATAGTATGAAAGAAACTGTGGGAAGACAAAGAGAAAGACAACTAAAAAATCTTCTTTCCTGATAGAAGTACTTTACTCTTACCTGGCAAAGAAACAATAAGAGGATTTTTGAGAAATTTTAGAATTTTGACAGCTGAATGGTGGGGCAATGTTTTACAAATTATGAAGAATAGAGTAACAGTGATAGTTTGTGATCTTTCACACAACTGAAACACTGTAAATAACAATGTATGTAAATAATAATGTACCACTAGTTACATTGATAATAAATTGTATAGTCAGTCACTTTTATACTTATTTAAGTCTAGGAGATTGAGTTGATATAAATAGATATGAACAACTGCTCTCTTTCTGGGAAAAGAGTTTCAATGTGTTTAATGCCCTAGCCTCAGTTCATTAAATGGTATTTATTTAATAATAGCTAAATAATTCAGGAAATTCACTTGGTCAAAAAAATGAAAATTTTCTAAACTTGGGGAGAAAAATTAAACAAAGAATGTTAAGAATGAAGATTATAACATTTTTGTTTCTGTCAGACTAACTCTTCTTTTTTTTATTTCACTGGAGAAAAAAATCACAGGGCAAGCACAAACTATCATAGGCAATTAATTTCACTATGCTGTGCCTCAGTTTTCTCATCTGTCAAATGGGGTTAATGAAGAAAGTGTCTTATAAATTGTAAATGCCTATATAAATATGATACTGCTATTTACTAAAATGTAATAGCTATACTTCAATAATAGCTAATAGTAATAACAGGTAATATTTAAAATGTCTAAATATTATAAATATCAATATAGCCACTATTAATAGCTAATAGGTAACATGTATACAGGGTTTACTATATGGCAGGCACTGTGCTAAGTGTTTTGCAAGTATTATATCATTTGATCCTCACAACAACTTAGGGAGGTCAGTACTAGTATTATCTTCATTTTATTGAAAAGGAAACTGAGATTAAGGGATTTACCCACAATCCCACAGACAGTATCTGAGGCCAGATTTGAACTCAGGTCTTCCTGACTCCAAGTGTAGAGCTCTATCCACTATTCCATCTTAGCTGCCCTAATAACAATAATAACAGTAATCCCTAATATCTAGTATTCTGAAGCCAAGAATAAAAATCCAGATTAGTAGAGGGAGAGATATAGGAAATGACAGAATCTACCCCCACAAAAAATTAAAATATATAGCTAAAATATTTGATACTAACAGTTTCCAAATAATAACCTGTGGTTTAGCTAAATGGAAGCATATTCTATTGACTGCTAGACTATGTATAACAATAAACATTTATTTTTCCCCAAGTTTAGAAATTTTCCATTTCCCTTACAAGTAAATTTCCCAGACTGTTCAATCATTATTAAATAAATAATATTTAATGAACTGGAGGAGAGGCTATGAGCTAACTGAAACTTCTTCCCCCCCCAATAGAGATCATATTTAGCAATATAACAATTTATAATCTCTTGGATTTAAATAACAATATTTGTGATGCTGGCATAGGGCAAGCAATTGAATGTGTATTGCTCCTAAGATGCCATAGGATGTGTGAAATACATTTTATGCGCAGGGTTGATGATGACCTTTACTGGTTGCACAGCACTTTACATAGGTTCTCAGTTGGTCCTTACCAACAACCCATGAGGCAGGTGCTACTACTATTATCCTCATTTCCTAGATGGGTCAACTGAGGCTGAAAGATAGAGCTACGGCAGAATAGTTTTTCAGTGTGTGTGTGTGTGTGTGTGTGTGTGTGTGTGTGTGTGTGTGTGTGTGTGTACCCTCAACACTTAAAATAGTGCCTCGCCCCTAGCAAGCCAGCCTAAACTTGATGAGTTGAACTGAATTAAAACCTAAAGGGTGGAAAGGGCAAGATCCGTGGCTTGGAAAGCAGAAACGAGCACTTAGACAAACGCCATCCCCTCAGTGACGTGAGGGTGTGCGTATGGGGGCGGGGGGATGTGAGGGGGAGTTGCAGAGGTCTGGGGGGGGGCGGGAAGAAAATGGCATCCGAGGGTTGGGCGCAGGCTCCAACAGATGGCGCTGTCATCCCGCCCCGGCTCTGCCTCCCCCTCCCTCCCCTAAGCTAGCGCTACATCCAGGGAGAAAGTGGGAGAGGGACGGGAGAAGGGAAGAAGCTTGGGCTCGCGCTCGCGCTCGCGCTCTCACTCTCGCAGCGCGCGGCCGCCACTCCTTAACGTCACCCTCCCCACTCTTTCCCGCCGCGAGCTCAGCCTCGGCGCCACCTGTCCCCTTTTCCAAACCGTTACCTTCGGCTCTCCTCTCAGGCGCGCGCTCAGTCGGGCGCGCGCTCGCGCTGCCGCCCACTCACTCCCCTAACAGCTGTCTCGCCCGCGCCGCCGCCGCCACCGCCATCTTGGGAGACACCCCCCCCTCCACCCGCCCTCCGAGCTGGGAGCCACCTCCCCGCCCCATCCCTTCCCCCTCCCCCCCTTCTCATCCTCTGCGTGTGGGCACGCGCAGCGGGGGCGCGGAAACCTGGAAATGGCATCTAAGTCATCTGCCCTGGGCTCGGTTACCGCGCGTGTGCATCCACGAGAGGGGTCCCCAGAAGGAGTCAACAGCCGAGGGATAAATATTTAACAACTGGCTCTCGGGGGGGAGGGGGCGCGGGAAATCTGTTTGCACGACACACTTTCAAGTTTAATCAGGGTTATGAACATTTTTTTCCATCACTCTCTTAAGTCCCAACACATATTAGAACAGTAAATCAAGCCCCGGTTTGTAACTTTTGCAGATTTCCCAGGGGTCAAGGATCTCACTGAAAATAGAATAATATCAACGTGGGGGCTGATGACCAAGCGAACATCGAATTATAAACAGCAAATGCTGGAAGGCACATGAGGGGCCATCCCATTTTTACAGATGAGGAAACTGAGGGACAACGTATTGCCAAAGGTCGCACCAGTAAGTGACAGAGGTAGGATTTGAACCCAGGTCTTCCACCTCCAGGGCTACTTTTGCTGTTGCTTCACACTGCCCTGAATAATTTTCTGCTCGCTAATCAGGAGATAAGAATCAGTATTGAACAAACTTTCCCCTTGAATAAAATGAGCTCTGCTAACTTGGTCTATAATATTCAGGGGTGGGGAACTGGCCTCAAGGCCCCATGTGGCACTCTAGGTCCTCAAGTTCGGCCCTTTAACTCAATCCACACTTCACAGAGCAGACTTGGGGCAAGCCTAAATTCATCTCCAACTCCTCCCGATATGAACAGACTGGTTTCTTTTCTGCATTGTCCCACTGACTGGCACTTTGCTACCCAGAGCTTTTATGTGGTGCCCTCTGGCTGCCTGGAACCCCGTTCAGGCTTAGTCTTTCCTGGCAGTAACCTCCTCCAAAATTAACTTTCCTTTTCCTTTACTTAAGAAGTTAGAGTCCACAAGAAGGAAAAAAAAATATGGTGGGACCTTCTCTCCAGCAGAGGCCAAAGCCCCCAGCAGAAACGCTTCCCAAAACATCCTAAGGGATAGATGGACATTTTTCATGAAGCTCAAGAACTTTGTGAATCAAGGGCCTGTCTAAGGTTATAGCTGTATGGTTATGGTTATAGTTGTATGCATGTTGCAATACTACTACTTAACAAGAGATAGGAACTGGGTCTGTGATTTCGTTAAGAGTTCCCCTGTGAGGAAACTTTACCAGTACAAAACAGCATCTTCCCTTCAATTTATAGACTTAAAACAGAATTTTTTTCTATCTTCTTAATGCCACAGACACCTTTATTATTCTGGTAAAAACTGTGGAGGTCTTCTCAGGATAATGTTTTTATTTATTTATTTTAATTTTAAAATTAATTTAGTTTTAGTTTTCAACATTCACTTCCATAAGCATAATTTCAACTTGGGTCCTCCTGACTCCAGGACCAGTGCTCTATCCACAGTGCCACCTTTGCTGCCCTTGGGTTTTTAAAATAAAATATATAGAAATATAAATGAAATTGAAGGTTAGTGAAAATAAAGGTGCAAATTTTATTTTGCTCCATCCAAGGTCCCAGACACCTTTGTTTATGTATCCACAAAAAATATATTTGGTGCTGGGTGGGCATCAGGTTAAGAACCTCTGTCTTATAGAGTTGGGAGGGGTTAGATGTGACTTGGCCAAGATCATACAGTTCATTTGTATCAGAGGTGGGACTTGAATCTGGGTCTTTCTGACTTCTAAGTTACTCCTCTATCTACTATACTAGGCTTCCACTTGAGAAATTACTATTTCATATCACTTGTTGTTCAGGTTTTTTTTGGTTGTATCTGACTCTTTGTGACCCCATTTGGGTTTTCTTGGCAAAGATACCGGAGTGGTTTGCCATTTCCTTCTCCAGCTCATTTTACAGATGAGGAAACTGAAGCAAACAGGGTTAAGTGACTTGCCCAGGGTCACACGGCTAGTAAGTGTCTGAGGCCGCAGGAAATGTTATAAATGCACTTTGTATCACTAGTGACCTTAAAAAGCTAATGTCACCCACAAACTCCCTAACTGATTCTAGGTAAATTTGTCACCTGCCTGATTTTGACCTGAACAAGCTGGAATTCAAAATAACGATTCATTTATCTTGACAGACTTCTTCAATGTCCAGAAATTAAATGATTTGTTTTCTGAGATGTCCCAGTCTATCTTGTCTACTACATGGTAGTGGCTACAGAAACCTTTATTGCTGCCACCACAATGGACTTTCGTTTGTCACTCTCTGGTTTTGATGGAAATAGAAGAATATTAGAATAATAGAAGAGTAATAGAAGGGTAGGAAACAGATGTGGAATGAAAGAGAAGCTGGTAAACTCCCTTCTTCCCCATTTCCATTAGTATCCTTCTAAGGTATTACCTGCTCTCCTGAAGTGTCATCATTTTCAGTAATATGAAAGCCAATGCTTGCAATGTTAAATATAGTGACTGTACACAGTAGATGCTTAATAAATTAATGAGACCTTGATTGTACTCTCCATTTTTAAAATTTAGGATTGCTCCCACAATAAGTTATTAATCCTAACTAAAGTCTCCATGTTAACATATCACATTCTTTTACTTCTATCTTCAAAATCTTGAATGTAGAAATAAAATGTAGAAAATAGAAATTCTCAACCAGAAAATTTACTAACTTGACAAGAATCTTGAGGTCTTCCCTCACTCAGAGAATGTATCAACAGTAAGTTCTTGTCAACAAAAAGTGATATGAAAGGTATGAGATACATCCTTTTCAAGTTACTCAGTAAATATTTGACCACAAAGTAAGATGGTCTAATGTCAGAAGATTTAGTACATTCTTGCTCTTCCTTATTGAATTTATGCATTATTGGCCTTTAGACACAGAATAAGAAAGTACACATTTCCCCTTTGAGAAATCTTTCTTCCTTAAAATCCTTATATTTGCCTTAGTAATTAAATGTTGGCAAAAATTATACTTTCATAGTCTGACAGAGTTAATTTTTAGTTCCAAATAGTAGAGATTAACTTCTGCAGGAGAAATGTTAACTTGTAAAATATAAAAGTCAATGTTCATAATGGTCATGGCTATTAATTAACTTAAAAAATTTGATGATTCTCTTTGAATATTCTGGTTTCATAAGACTTTCCCCTTCTTAATAGAGGGCATAAGGTATGAGGGAAGAGTTCAAAAGTTTCCAGTGCTAAAATCTTTGTTTACCACAGAGAATGATGGTTATTTTTTCTTAAATTGCACAATACTGAGGACTCAGCTTCACTTTTCATGAAATTCTTAGAACATTCAGCTTAAAGACAGGTTATACTTTAGCTATCTCTTTCATGAGATTTACTATAGAAGACATGTACCAATACAATCAATTCAGGAAAATGTGGGTTAAAACATCAAATAAGTATACATATTTATTGAATCAGCCCTGGTGAAATGTTGTCATAGGAACACAGTCTGGTATATGCTAATCGATATCATATTTGACTGAAAAGGAGGAAATTTACATCAAACAACCATTTAAACATGTGACTTGTGTTTTACAAGATTTTAAAGCTAGAAGTAAGTTTATATGAAGTCACATACTGATTGTGTTATACATCTGAACATATGAAGTAAGTTAAAATAAAGACACATCAAAAACTGAAAAAATAATCAAATACATATGAAGAAATATGCAAAAGTCACCATAAAAATCTAAATTAAAAGCAATACTAAAAGGCAGCTGAATAAAGATTAAATTCAGTGGCCAAATTTAGTGCCCAAGAATAGCTGATTAAACTTCCCACCTCTCATAGAAAAGCAGAGGTCTATGGAAGAAGAATTGCACAAATGGGAGGAAAAAAAGGAAGGAAGGAAGGAACGAGAGGTAAAAGGAAGGAAAGAAGGAAAAAGGAAGGAGAGATGGAAAGACAGGAATAGGAAGGAAGGAAAAAAGAAGGAAGGAAAGATGGGAAAAAGGAAGAAAGGAGAGATGGAAAGAAGGAAGCAGGAAAGAGAAGAGAAGAAAGAAGTAATAAAAAGGAAATAAGCATTTATTAAGGACCTACTCCACACTAAGTCTTTACAAGTATCATCTCATTTACTCCTCACAACAACGTTGGGAGGCCCGGGCTATTATTAGGCCCATTTTACAGTTGAGGAAACTGAGGCAAACAGCAATAAAGTGACTTGGTTGGAATCACACAGCTAATAAATATTGCTTGGGTTCGAACTTCGCTACTTCTGACTAGAGACCCAGCACTCTACTACAATATCTAGCTGCCTCTAACATGCTATGAGATCTCCTGTGTTGCTGTGATTGTTGTTATAAAATATGATTTTGCCTCCATCACTAATATCATAATGGGCTTCTACTTTGTTTTAATTTTATTTCTAGTATATACTCTGTAAACTTTCCTTGATTCTTAGCCATGAATTGAATAAATTAAACTCATTTTCAGGTAGGCCAGTAGTATGAATTAATTAAGGTAGTCCTGGCTATCTTAGAGAGAACCAATAACAGTGTGTTCAGCAATTGACCAGGTTGTTGAAGATGATTAGATCAGTTTAGAGAATTGTGTGACTGATGAATCAGAGGAAGTGATAACTCTAAAGCTATTCTCTAACACTGGAACTGTAGGAGATATTTCAATGACCAAAGTCCTATGGCCTAGATCTCCTTTGGTGTGGAAAGTGTTGGTACTAGAGGAATAAGGACATTTTTTTTTCTTGAACAAAAATTCACAGTGGAGTGATAGCATCCCATTGCCACCCTCCAGTTTAGCCAGATTTAGCAATAACTCAGCAGATTTACTGACAAAAAGTAAAAAGTAAAGAGAAAACTCAGCTGAACTCAAGTATAGAAATGGAGAAGTTACTAAAAGATATTCAGGTTGAAATAAGGCAAGGAGAAGATATGGTCTTCTGGGGAAGAGGGAAATATTGA